CCTAGCACTTGTAATGGTTGAATATATCTATACCCTGTAGGACGAGTTATATTCCTAGCTATTCAGTATTGTAAAATTACTTCAAGTAATAATACTGGCCATATAAGAGTGGTGATGTTGCAAGATACACGAAGTCGATGCAACAAACCTCGTGCCTAAAATTACGCGCATGCTGTACAAATCTTGCCACCCCACACATGCCTGTCTGACCGATACCTACCTTTAATATCATTGGGTATGAGTTATGAATTAAGTGTCGAGATTGATTTATGACACGTTTCACCAGACAACTTATCTGACGAAAACAGATACCTTGGACGTGTTTTTGACAACAACAACTATACAACGCCGATTTCGTGAAACGAAACACTCACCGAACAACATAAACAGTAACCCGACAGTTATGGACTTTTGCCATTACTTGATATTTATCTGTAATTTACGTACATGTAGTCATTTAGATACTGTGGTATGTGTACAGTTACTTCAGGGTGCATTGCATGTTGCACAAACAGCACAAAAAACCCTCGCATTTGATAGTAACCTTTCAGTAAGTGGTTATCTGATGGAAGTTTAATCGAATAAAAAAATATCCAGATGAAGTATTGTTCCGGCGTGGCTTCACTGCAGTGTACAAGATCAATTGTTCCGACTGCTAGGCTACTCAGTTACATCGGCGAGACTGGCAGAAACATTGATCGAAACGTCAGTCACCAAAACAGTCCTTTTCAGGACCCACAATCGGACGATCACTACTAGACGAACTATTGATATTCCTGGGTTCTAACCATTTACCAAAGATAGAATATATGGGCAATTCTTGACAGTGATAAAAATATTAAATAAATTAAAGATAGTTACAATAGCTTAGAAAGTCTTTAACTCCTTTTTACTTTTAACCACATTATTTTACAGACGGGAAGTCAAAGGCCAGCCTTTAACTTGTCCTGCGGACAGAGAGCGTTTGAGCCGACGCCAGGTAAATATAACCTTGATCACACGTTCATAACTCCCCCCTTATTTTCTCTTTCGTACCATTAGTGTCCATTACGCTTTGAAATTGGCCCATAAGATTCATGAGCAGGTTAAAGAACGAAATTAGTGGAAACCAATCATTACATTATTGAATGTGAAGTATCACAGCAAGGAGCCCAAAAGTGTTACCACTTTTAATTAATTCACTGCATTCTTTCGTACGCGCATACTATCCAATCAAAAGCCGAGGATAGCTATCCTCGGCTTCTGATTGGATCCGGAGGGACTCCCATATAAAAGTGATTGGGGGTGATCATATGGAATTTTGAAAGGAACCCCCTAAAAGGTACCAGAACCTCGTTTTGTGTGTGTGGCTCGAATTCATTTTCACCCCTAAAGGTACCAATTCTAAAGAAAACTAGTTCCTATCCTATTTGCTTCGGATTAATACACTAAAAGGCACCAGGATAACTATAATAGTGCTCATTTCAGATTTTAACACCCTAAGCGGCACTAAATCACTAATTTTATTCCCTAAAAGGTACGACGATCACCCCCGGAGTCCCCCCCCCCCCCCCCCAGGGATTGGATAGCCTGCATGCACGAAATGATGTTAATTTAATAATTAAAAGTGGTCACACTTTTGGGCTGCTTGCTGGAAAGACCCAGGGACGTCTGATATGGAGTTTTACTGTTACTGTATTTCCTCGAATAAGCGCCCGAACTTATTTAAAATTTCGGCCAAAAGGGGGGAGGGGCTTATTCAAAGGAGGACGCTTAATCGAAGGGGGCGCTTATTAAGTTTTTCTTTCAACGAACTGTAACTTTATTTTGGCTAAAGTTAATCGATAATAAGTTAATCGAATTAAAAATATATTCAGATAAAGCTCTGGTTTTGGGAATTGTACGTCAGATATATTTTTAATATTGCCGCAAAAGGTAATGGAATACAGAGTGCTGGATGCCCTTCCCACAGTCTGAAACAAGTGCTTGGATATCTTCATTATCGTCAAATAGTTACATACTATTATACTTAGTAAAACATCAAAGCTAAGGTTACTATTATCGATTAACTTCCATAGCCACTTAGTGAAGGTCGACTGGTTCGCTTCTTTACCTTGTCATAATAAGTACCTTGTTATATTCAGTTCTTATTATTTCTCTTGATTTCTTTTTAGGATGTTTTCCCTGACAAAGCAACAGAAAGGAAGATTCTTTCTCTTGCCATCAGATGCCCAAGTGAAGGCTGTGGTTGGACTGGTGAACTCAGGAACAAAGAGGTATAAAACAAACATATCGCGGCCAGGAGCTTTATTACCGAATTAATCAAGATGCCGAAATTGAAAGTCATTGAATGAACCTTAACAGACGCGACTGTTTTATTTATAGATTCACTTGGCGTCTTGCCTTTTCAAGCTTGTCTCCTGTACCAACGAAAACTGTCACGTGACAGTGCGAAGGAAAGATCTCAAGCAACACGTGACTATCACGTGCCAGTGGAGGATACTTAAGTGTAAACACTGCAGTGAGTCACATCCACATTGTCAGATGCAGGTAAATATAAAATGTAATTCAATAAGTGTCATAATAATACACTTGAAAAATTACTCTATTCTGATTGGCTAAGAGCAGTGCAGTTCATGTGTAACACCAGTGCAAAAAGTGTAACACTAGTGCAAATTACAATTTCCAAAGATTTCCGAAGTTAGCACGAAGAAACATCAAGACCCTTAACGGCTCCCGAAAAGATGGCCGAAGTTCACCCGAAGCCTTCCGAAGGTTTCCGAAGATCACCCGATGACTTCCGAAGATTGCCCGAAGTCTTCCGAAGATTTCCGAACTTTCACCCGAAGACTTCCGAAGTTTACCGAAGATCACCCGAAGACTTCCGAAGATTTCCCAACTTTATCGGAAGGTTTGCGAATACTTCCGGAATTTTAACGAAGTTTTAGGAAGACCAAGGCTCCTCAGCCTAAGTAATCGGTAAACAGTATTTTTTCAAGTGTGTTATTAACAAGTAATCACATGATTTTTGTCGTGCAATTTAGAATAAATAAGCACTTGTAAATTTTTCAAAGACTACAAATTTCACGGGCTCGTGCAATTTTGTTAGTAAATTTCTTTTGGTCTGCTTTCAACAAGGGAGTGAGACTTAGATATTTCTGACTAATATCACTAGCAACAGTAGCAAGTACCGAACTAGCTCGTGCCTGACAAAGCATGGTACACGTACCTATGTTTTAGTACGTAAATTCTTCCTTGCAGGATCATATTGCCCAGTGCAGCAAGTTCCCAGTACCTTGTCCAAACAATTGCGGCCGTTCAATTCCTAGGGAATTGGTAAGGCTTTTCATTTTTTGTCTTTCTAGCTTTTAAGTCTTTTACAGAACGGACACTCGAACCATGAACGCTATGGTTTGATTTTTACTTATTTTTTACTTTTTTAACCAGTTATTTTCTACTTTTTATGTTGTGTAACAAACACAACATATTAGTTTTGTGTGGAGCTTTTGTCGTGGGTTCACTCGTACGTATGGAAAATTGAATTACGAGATTTTGCTTCTAACAACGCTTTAAGACGGATTCCGCTCAACGTTTCGAGCAATAAGTGCAAAAATTAATTACTAAAAAACGACTCATAGCACGGTAACATTTTGAATACTATTTTGAAACATATCACTTTAATTCACTTCTCCAAGTGACCCCGCAATTAAATTCTCAAGCATTCTCGAGAAAATTAATGTCAAACTTCGTAAAAAATTATAAAACGTACGCCATTTTGTTTTGAACTAACATGAAGCGTCTTTTTAATTAAAATATGTAATGACTTCTCTCGCGGGTCAGCTTTGGGAGCTAATTTATCGATAATTTCTTCTTAACTGTATTCAAAATGTTACCGTGCTATGAGTATTTTTTGGTAACTTAATTTTGCACTTTTTGCTCGAACGTCCAGCGGAAATCGTCTTAAATACTACTGCAACGGCGCAAGATATAATTTTTCACTTGAGTCGCGGTTTTCCTTGTGGTACACTACAAGCTACGTGTGCAAAAGACGCATGCGTGTAGCACCCAAATTCGGAATATAATCATCAGAAGCTCTATTTATTGACCTGATTTACTACAAGTCACTGACGTGATTTGCCCCAAATCAGGACATTTTAGGGAAAAGGACAATCTCTACGACTAAAAACAGGCCACTGAAACAGGCAAATATATTGAAAAAGCGAGTAACTTGAGTGTCTTGTCTAATCGCGGTTGTCTCAACAAATCGTTTACTTGAAGAGAGTATAGTTTCTCATAAGTCGCGTATGCGAGTTTAAGCCCCTGAACTACTCGCGAATAAATATTTCCGCTTGGTTGAAATAAAGTAATTATCCTACATATAAACAAAGCAGAGAATACATTAGCCCTGCCTTTCAAGCTTCAAAGTCTGTTCATTACAGAGGCCATTTCCCTAGGCTGTACGAGCTGAAATATTTCCTGAAGTTTATCAGCGTATTGAGTTTATTATAGGAATCGCATCGAAAATTAAATATTTGGAAAGCAAAAACGAATGTCAGCAGGTAACATCATTGTTGCAAAATAGTGTGTTAAATCGGCGCGTTATTCGATCCCTTTAACTTTACACCAAAATCTGCCTATAATTTTAGCAAATTGAAATTTTAAAGAAACGTATGGAAATCAAGTCAAGTCAAACAAAACGAAACAAAACAAAATCGATCATCGTTACACAGTATGGCCTAAGGGGCCCCTAGTTTTCAGAACTAGCCAATCACAGCCGTGATTTTAAACAACGGCCGAGACATTTTATTCTAACTTTTTTCGCGTTTTTATCAAAGTGAGACCACCGCTAAATAGATAAAAATGCGGAGGAAAAAGGTAGATTAAAGTGTATTTGATTTCTTTCAGATTACCAATCACACCAGAAAGGATTGTCCATTGACAGTAATCTCCTGTCCTTATGTAGAGATGGGCTGCGAAAGAAAGGTACTTGCTTAGCGAGGGAAAGAACCCACATCCCTCAAATCTCCTGTAGCTCAGCTGTGGTAGAGCGTCCAACCGGTGTACGGAAGCTCATAGGTTTGACTCCTGCTGGGGATTGGAACTCAGAATTTTTTCCGAGTAACTTGTATCACTGACTGAATAATATCTTTCTCATATTTCTACAAAGCTTAACTAGTATACCATCATTTCTTTCCACAAATATAAACTTCTTTCTATCTTTTTTAGGTTCAACGAAAAGAAGTGGAGTCCCATCTTGAATCTGACATGAAGCCTCATCTTGGTTTGGCTTGTGTAAGTTAAAAGAGACAGAAGTTAAGTTAAATAACACAGAAGCTAAGTTGAATAACACAGAAGTTAAGTTAAATAATACAGAAGTTAAGTTAAATAATACAGAAGCTAAGTTGAATAATACAGAGGTTAAGTTGAATGAAACACAAGATAAACTTGACACACGGATGTTTATTTGGAAGATTAACCACTTTAGTGAAATTTTGAGGCAAGCGAAGACCGGAGAAAAATGTTCTATTTTCAGTTCTTCATTCTACACAGCAAGATCAGAAAGTTATGGCTACAAGCTAAAAGTAGAAGTTTATCCTAATGGTGAAGAGTCTGACAGGAATACTCACCTGTCGGTGTTCATTAGTGTAATGAAAGGTGAATACGATGCTATATTGCCCTGGCCTTTCAAAAAGAAAGTGAAGTTGACATTGATTGATCAACAAGAAGATCCAGTCAAACGGGAAGATGTAGCCTGCCAGTTCACCTATCTAGATAATATCCCAGAATGCTTTGCAAGGCCTACAAACAAAGAGAACAATTCTGGTTATGGGTTTTCGAAGTTTATATCGCAAGAGAAACTTCATTCTCGACGCTACATTGTGGATGATACTCTGTTTCTTCAGGTTGAGGTCGGTCCATCATCCAGTTGATTTTGAAAACATTTTCACGTTCGCACAAAAACAATTGAAATAAAAACTATTTTAATAAATAAAAAAATTTTAAAAAGCAATTCTTATTTTGGGCTTTTCCTAGACCCTAGTAAGATTTTTGCAAATTCTGTTAAATAGAGCCTTGTATAGTTTAGACGTTTTCTTTTTCTACTAGTTTCAACATTTTTTTCCAAAAAGTGCTCATGGAAGTAAGCTTTCTTCTTTCGACGGCCATTTTAACCACAGTAATGCGCATACGTTGGAGTGACGTTATGTTGTGCAATCTCGTTCCCAGAGCCCTTGTTACCTTTATCCAGCGGCAAAAGAGGGGGGGGGGGGGGGGCTTAATAGAGGATTTACAGTAATCATGAAAAAAAAAGGACACAAAGTGATTACTATAATTTGTTAAACGTTGCTGCTCTATTCAGCCAGGAGTTTTCGTAATTGAGCATAACTTTCTAGATCGTTTGAATTAAATTTTTTCTCGTTATTGTATTGACATTAATTATTTCGCTTGTATTATGAAAGTTACTGTTGTATCAGAGCATATTCCAGTTAACATATAGAGCATCGCACTAGCTAGTAACGCTTAGGTAACGGGTTCAAATCCCGTTGAAGCCTGAATTTTTTTTCAGGCTTAAAATATACGTTGAACTTCTCTCAGTTTTAAAAACGATTTTCTGTTACATAATCTAGAAACCCAAGAGTATTATTAGATGATATAAGTTTGTGTGAAGTTTCAAACGGAGAATGTTTAGCAATAAAGGCAGAATAAATCATTTAATAAACACAATGAAATGTTGTTACCTGTTGTTGTTGTTGTTGTTGTTGTTGTTGTCTATCTCGTCAATGTTGTTTCCTCTCACGTCATCCTACAGTGTACAAGAGAAGCTCCCTTGAATTCAGTTTTACACAAAATACACGCTTCTGTCGGACAGCTCTCCAGAAGAGATGTGGCGACGCGTTTTAAGAAATTGAAAATGGCGCGTGTCTTTAGCCTGATGCAAACACCAGAAACAGTTTGGGAGAATTCGAAAGTTTATATATAAACCCAAGCCACAGGCGAGTTTACTTATTTTAAAAATTATTTCGAATTCTCCCAAACTCTCTCAAGTGTTATCAGGTTATTTCTTGCATCAGAACCGCAACAAGTACTTGCACGTACCATGGAATTTGTTAAACTGAAAAAGCATCAGTTATTCAGTGCATTTCCATGTTTCTGATATGCTTAATAATTATAGATTATCGAAGATTAAATAAAGAAAATAAAGAAATGTGACCTTAAACTCCAGACGAGATTTGATCCCGCCTGAGCTCTTTGACGGACAAATTTATAAACCTCGCTTCGCGGGGAATAATGGTTTCTTCATTCACATGTCTGAGTTTAGAGCTCATAAAAAAATAATATAGGGAAGAATAGCTAAAATATATCGTGACTTAGAAAGTCTCGCTCGAATTGTCAGGGAAACCTGTCAAAAATGTTGAGGGTGACCTGAAATCTTCATGCTATGAAAACCGGAGTTAAGCGCCGGCCTGATAAGCCACCAACCTCGTTCCCAGGGTCTCTCATCTTCCCGCCCCCTGGGAACGAGGTTGATAAGCCACTAGGCTTATAGGTCCTTATAGAAAGACTTTAACCTTTAAAAAGCCACGCTAAAATAGTTAAGGAACCCAGCATTTACAGAAGGGACCAAACTAGCGAAATTAATCATATTTCAGTATTAATGTAGTCGATATAGAAAAACTATTGCCATTGAGCTCCGTTGGTTTGTACTTTTTCAGTAAACAATTTCTAACCTTCGTAGAAACTGAGGCACGTTCCGGGTTCTTTTCTTTTTTTGCATCAGGGATTACATAACCCGTCAGGGGTAGGGCTAGGGGGTAGATAAAGGAGGAATGACGAAGAAACGTCTTGATGTCCGGCTAACTTCTCCACAAAGGAAAGTGCTCAAACAAGTAACTTATGATGGTGTTTCCACGTATTGCTTGCCTATCATATGTGCGTGCGAACCAGACTGATAGAAAACGTAGCTGTAATAGTCCATTTTCACATTTATGCACAACAAGACCTCATGGCCGAAACAGAGACAGGCCTGCAACTGACTGGCATTATTTTGAACTTAGAGAACCAGAAAGCAAATAATTAGTACACAGGAGTTGACTGGAAAGCTGTGTCTTGTTATGTTCCAACCAAGTTGGGCCTGTAACAATAGTAACGAGCATGAGCCCAGGACCAAGCAGTGTAGCCGTGAAGTCGAGTGCAGCCAAAACTGTTATGTGAGGACATCTGAGGCTTGTACGATAGGAAACAAATGGAATGACAAGATTCCCACACACACACCTAACAACATGATATAAAGGAGGAGTGGGCATAATAAACATAAAGCTATTTTTAAAGCTATTGATCTCTACCTTTGTAATGTCTTTCTCCCGCAGTTCAATATATGATTTTTCATTTATTCTCCATCTACGGGTATAGTTACGAACTCACAAAATGACCATCTCCCAGTTGGCTTGATAGCAACCTCGTCCCCAGGGCCATCTCCGCTTTCAAGATGGCGGGTGGACGCGAAGAACAGCAGGTCACGTGACCACAAAATTAGCCAATCGCGAGCCCGCCGCCATTTTGAAACAATAAAAAAATCTCCAATATTTTTGGAGACACGTGACCTGCTGTTCACCAGGGTCTTCTTTGCGCCCACCCGCCATCTTGAAAGCGGAGATGGCCCTGGGGACGAGGTTGGCTTGATAACTCAGTTGGTAAGAGCATTGCACCGGCATCGTAAGGTCCTGGGTTCGAATCCCATTCAAGCTTGAATTTTTTTCAGGTTTTCACTGTGATTATCTTCTTTTGTAATATAAAGCTATTTATCACTTTTTCATTCCCCATTCCTCAATTTCATTCTTCGTTACCCATTCCAACTTTCATTCGTTCCGGTTCTCCATCGCCATCAATTCATTTTGCCATAATATCCTTATGATAATAGCAGTCTTATCGAATTTAGGTAATTGACTAAAACGCAACTGAAATTCTCAATAATTGACAATAATTAGCAAACACAAAAACAGCAAATCACAGTAATCAAATGATTACTCAGTAATTCGTTTTTAATCATATAATACTGATTAGCTTGTATTTAGCAAAACTCAAAAACAGCAAAAACATAAAAACAAACTGTCAGTAATGTACTGTTAATGTAAGTTATGTCATGTAAATGTTGTATGTTATTTGAATAAAACAAATAAATAAAAACACATAAAAACACAAAACATGAAATCAGTTACAATTGATTACTCAGTAATTCGTTTTTAATTATATAATAATTAGCTTGTAATTATATAATAACAAGAATTTTCGAAGAAAATATAACCGGGCTTTTTTTATCAAGCAAGCAAGCCGTTTTACCTGCTTTCTTGCTTGAAATCTATCAGATTAGTCACGGCAGTCACGCTGAAGTCTGATGTTTGCGTATAGTGCCTACTGTCAATTTTCTTGCCTCTGAGCAGTCTTTGAAGATCATTCCTCAATATAAAGCCAAAGTTGAATAAGAGGAAAAAACACGACAACATAGGTACGAATCGGTGTTGAACCATCAATCGCAGACGTTCCTCGTTGCACCATCATCATTCGCAGCTATTCTAGTCACAGTTCGACAAATTGCGTGAGTCAAAATGTGATATTGTAACGTAATGGTTGTTATTTATAAATCTTCTGCATGCAAGGAAGTGAATTGCTGCACCAACACGAAAAAGTAATGTATTTCACACTAAATAAACAGCAGAGTATTCATGTTCAAATCAAAAGTAATAGCTTGATATGAAATTTGACCTAACGGCGACCCTGGTCACAGACGTTGCGAAATCTCTTCAAGTCACAGTTAGACGTGACTCATGTGACCCCATGACGTAATCGTCCTTATTTATAAATCTGCATTTCTCAGCAAGTTTCTGTTTTTCTCAGAAAATATACGGAAAAGATATGTATTTCACACAAAATGACAATTATTTAACAGGACAATATTCATAAAATATCATTTAGGCAAAGGATGACCCTGGCGAAATCTAACGTAGCTTGATAAAAAATTGATCTAATGGCGCTTCCAGTGTATGTGATGTACGTACGCACCTCACAGACAATCTCTTCAAGTCACGATTCGACGTGACCCT